GGTGCGAATGAAGCTCATGGGGCCCCCCCTTTGAGCCCTGGGGTTCCTGCTCCCTTAAGGATCTGAGTTTTAAGGTGGCGTTTCTAGTAGCCATTACGTCGGCTCGCAGGGTCTCCGAGCTGAGGGCGCTAACTGTAAACCCGCCCTACCTAGTGTTCTCGGAGAATAATGTGCGGCTCCGCTCTCACCTGGCCTTTCTCCCAAAGGTGGTGTCACCGTTCCATCTGTCCCAAGAAATTTACCTACCAGTTTTCTTTCCAAAGCCCCATGCCTCTCCTAGGGAGCACGTGCTCCACTCCCTAGACTCTAGACAGGCGTTAGCCTTCTATGTCGATAGGACGAAACTCTTTCATAAGTCCAAGCAACTGTTCGTTGCTTTCGCGGACAGAATGAAAGGACTCCCTATCTCGACCCAGAGGTTGTCCAATTGGGTCGCGGGGTGTATCAGGGAGTCTTATGTCCTGGCCTGGAAGGTCCCGCCCCAGATTACAGCACATTCCACCAGGGCGCAGGCATCCTCTGTAGCTTTTGGGGCGCAGGTTCCAATTATGGAAACTTGCAGGGCGGCCACGTGGTCATCAGTGCATACCTTTATGGCGCACTATGCGCTGACATAGCAGGCCAGGAAGGACGCAGGGTTGGGCTCTGTGGTTCTCAGCTCCGTGTTGTAAATGTGTTGTTTTTTTTCTCTGTACCATACTGCACTTTATTCAACAGTTCTCTGTGTTATGTTACTTGAATAAATATATTTTGGGTTGTTCAACTTTCGTAACTTCTCTTTCTGGGTGCTCCGACCCCTCCTCCGTAAGTGGGGTTGGCTTGGAAGTCACCTGATTCGAATGGACATGAGCAACCACTCGAAGAAGAAAAGAACGGTTACTTACTTGTAACAGTTGTTCTTTGAGATGTGTTGCTCATGTCCATTCGATTTCCCCCCCACCTCCCGTTTGTTGGAGTTTCCGGCAAGAAGGAACTGAGGTGGGGGAGCACCAGCAGGGGTACTTATGCTCCACCATAGCGGCGCCACTCCAGGGGGAGTTCTGCCGGCGCTACAGGTACCGCTAGGGAAAATGCTCCAGAAGATGCAGTGTGCATACCTGATTCGTATGGACATGAGCAACACCTCTCGAAGAACAAAAGTTACAGGTAAGCTTTATTTTCTGCAAATAAATGGAAAAAATCCTCAGATGAATAGAAAAGATGAATGGGAACATTGTCCCAGCCCCTTCTCATCATGCTACTGCATGCTCCCTCCACACAAATTTAATTCCTCTTTGTAGGAACCTCTTACAATGTTGAGTGGGTAAGGTTCTGAGTCAAAAGATGTCAGAAAAATTGGCTGATATCCATGTTGCCTATAAAAATTAGTGTACAAAAGCACAACTTTAATCTAGTAATTGTTCAGGGTGGCAGACTGAACTTTTCCAGGCCTTTTCCATGTCCTTTTCATTAGCCTACTGCCATTCTTGATCTATTTTGACAGACTCAGACAGTGCAATAAAGAGACTCCTGCGACATCGATTTCAGTCCACCCCGATTCCACTTTACAACTCTTATCAGCAGAGTTTATTACATCTCTTCCAAGAACAGCTACTAATCATTTTATTGCCCTTTGTGGCAGATATATTACTCTCCCTTTAATGGCTGGGCCTTAAATACTTCTGGCTTCACCTTTGCACCACCCTATTGCTGAGCTAATCAGAGACCATTTTAGCCGTTGGCACAAGATGAAGCAGCTTGGGGAACTGCCCTGCACCTAGCTGCCCATGACCCTTATTGGTCACTTCAGCAGGTAGGATGTGGGAATCGCCAAGCCACGGCCCTGTTCCTTCAGGAATGTCCCTGATATGCCTCCTGCAGAGAATGGTGTGGGGCTGGGATACCAGCTGTAAGGCATGCAGTAATTTTCCTAATACGGAGAGGAAAGGATTTTTACTACCCTCTTTTGCTCGCAAAAAGGAACTATAGACCACTGATGAACTGGGCCCTTGGGCATTGTTCCTTCTAATTTTTTTCCATCTATATGCAGAATAACTTTTGGTATATGCACCAAGGCAAGTGCAGATGTGCACCACCCATTGAAATATGTGCTGCTGGCTATGAGCAGCTGTAGACTCTCTTCCAAACAACTGGATGGCACCTGAATCTCTCCTGGTCAGCTGCCCAAGCACTCAACTTACAGGGAACACTGCCCTTAGGACAAGCCAATGTGGAAAATTTGATCTGAGCTAAACAATTTGAGTTATGTTAGTAGCATACCTCAAGTTGACATAGCTTAGATCTACTTACTGCAAGGTCCACATCAATCTGAGTCAATGGAAGAAACTCTTCTGATTCTGACAGAGTACCGGAGTTGATGTCCAATCGATCAGCAGTTGATTTAACGTGTCATCGCTAGACCCACTAATTCGATCCCTGGTGGATCGATTGCCACAGAATTAATCCTGGCTGTAGTGGAGACATGCATGTAGATTCTAGCAGCCCCAGGGCTCCCTTAGATCTAATTATGTCTGCTTAGTGATATAAAAGAGACCGTTTAAGCAAGTGGAATTTACAAACAAAAGGGAGCCAGGAGTAGGAATGCACATGATGGAGGAATATGTTGACAAGTACAATGTTAGACTCCTGTTGTTTTTGTTTATTTTTCCCCAGCTTCATCTTCATTGGACCCTCACATGCAAGTTTCCACAGAGTAGAATCTCTTCAAGCAAATAAACATTCCATTAAGATTAAGCGGGCCATCTGGAAAAGTGGTGTATAGGTGACAATTTGTTACATGGTTTGGTGTCCAGGGAATGTGTTTAGGGAATTCTAAGTCTTCTGGGAGCCTACACTGATGTAATGTACACAATGAGGGTACTGAAACAGGGTGCAAGCTACTCTAACCAGTACTCCTCTCTTGTGCACATGAAATACATTCAGTCATTGGCTTGTCATTTAGGAAGAAAATGGGTTATTGCTCAGCTATGTTAAACACACAACTCATAACATGCTACGTCAAGCCAGCAATAAGGGTTTCCCAATCTCTGAAATGAGGAATGTGGAGAAGTGGTTTGTAAGTAACGGATCGAAAAAACAGTCTACTCTAATTTTAAAAGTTACCTCGTTTTAACCTCTCCATGGCACTTTTACTTCCAGCATATGTAGGTCTAATTTCTTTTCCTAATTCTTCTATGATAGCTAGAAGTTCTGCATATTTGCTTTGTGGTACTTGACTGCTGCTGGTACCCTACAGTTTGAAAGAAATTAATCTGAATTATACACGGCAAAAAAAAAACCCACAGCAGATTAAAATAATCATAAAAATCAAATTTATAATGTGCCCCATTTGTTCGTGATCACTTGCACTAAATGCATCAAATTTAAAATTCTACAGGGTTTTAAACACAGGCATTAGCTCCTGCAATCAGGTATGATGAGGTGCCCTGCAGTTACAAGGATCTAACTGGGTAGACCTAACAGCAGAGTTGGAATCTTGTAACATTTCATCCAAATGTACAGGCAGTCCCCGGGTTATGTACAAGATAGGGACTGTAGGTTTGTTCTTAAGTTGAATCTGTATGTAAGTCGGAACTGGCATCCAGATTCAGGCATTAGCTCCTGCAATCAGGTATGATGAGGTGCCCTGCAGTTACAAGGATCTAACTGGGTAGACCTAACAGCAGAGTTGGAATCTTGTAACATTTCATCCAAATGTACAGGCAGTCCCCGGGTTATGTACAAGATAGGGACTGTAGGTTTGTTCTTAAGTTGAATCTGTATGTAAGTCGGAACTGGCATCCAGATTCAGCCG